CAAATCGTGAATATGTTACCCTAATGGCTTTCTCGTTTTACCTACCCCCATATATATACTATTCCTCCTCACGGACAGTCGGCGCAGGTCCAGCGACCAGAGCCAGGCTGCAGAATTCCAAGTACCGCTATTGCTACTAGATACCAGTCGACACTCTGTGCAAGAGATGGCAGACATCTCTCAGGTCTACACCCCAGAACGCCAACATGAGACCACTCGGTTTGCTGTAAGTCTCACTCAAGAGTCTCAAAATATCTAGCCAATGGGTATAATTATATTCATGGAAGAAAGTGAGAAGTGTGCTCTATATAGAAAGCATGGCAAAGTATTACATAATGAGTGTATTACACACGTAAACTGGAAAATCTGTGTTTAGTAGTAGGCAGGACTGCACACTTCTACAAAGACTTTTATCCCTAATCCCATACCACACATAATGTGGAAATTTGCAATCTGCATGTTTGCTAGTCAGAGCCACTGAACACTTCCCAAAAGAATTTCCCCATAACCCCCCTATCCCCTCTCATTAGGCATGGTATTGATTGCCGTTGACGAGGAGCGAGGGCCTCAGGTGTACAAGACGGACCCGGCCGGCCATTACTGTGGCTACAGGGCAGTCGGTGTTGGTCCCAAACAGACCGAGGCCAATAACTACATGGAGAAGAAGATACGCAAGAAACCACAGTGGAGCTACGTGGAGACTGTCGAGGTGTCGAGATGACATCCGTATGTATACATTTCTTGAAAATGAGGAGTAAGTGTCTCTGCATTCCAAGTCCACAAAATTTCACATAGCTAAAAAAGAAAACATAGTACATTTTTGTGACAATAAGGGAATTTGCTGATGATAATTGATGTTTGTGGTTGTGTGCAGACGGCCATCATGTGTCTGTCCAGTGTCCTGTCTGCAGACTTCAAGTCCAGTGAGATTGAGATTGGTGTCGTCACTAAAGACAACACAAAGTTCAGGTCCGTCTGTCGCTTGTTGATTTTTTTGGTGTAAATGAAACAATTTTTCGTGCAGGACTCTCTCAGTGGAGGAAATTGATGAGAGATTGGCAGCTATTGCAGAAAGGGACTAGTGTTAGCCTGCATTCTAGACTGACAGTTGTTCATTGTGTCGTGTATTATACCTCCTGTTACCCGATTGCACATGTGATTGCACGTGCACACACACTGCACAAGCATAATTTGTGGTGCAGCCAGATAATTTGCCCAAAACTCTGCTAAACGATGTGAAATACGAAGCATGCAGCAGCAGTTTGCAGCTGAGACCATAACAACACACAACTCAATAACTCACTGAACAGATACACTGATTCTAAATTTAAGACAGTCGTTCAGCAGGTATTTTAAATTGTCTCCTGTCTTCTCCAGGTCAGCATACTTAATCAAGGATCATTAATCATCCTTCTCAGCTCTCTCCCCTTCAGCGAACTCCAGTGCTATACATCTTTGCAGGTGGTTATTGTTTCCAGCCTGGTTGAGTAGCTCTAGTGTGACAAAGACCTTCACTGGCCACGAGAGTTGGTCGTCGTTTTCTCCTTCCACTAAACAAAGAAATGCCCCGATATCATTATACTTTCCCCATAATATCTAATAAGCAGTTTAAAGGCATAGCCGCCATTGTGAGAATAAAACTTGTCACTCAATGAGTCCACTCGTCCCCTTTAGCTTTCTCTTTGTTATAGCGATAATTCCTGAACTCCAAAACCTTGCATCCAGACATAATGTATGTGTGTCTATGTGTTTAACACAACTCTCCACCTCTTCCTTTACTACAGCATTAAGTGCTTTCAATTCTTCTTGTATCTTCCTGTCCCTCTCAGCAGAGTCTTGTTGTAGCTGTACTATCTTTCTGTCTCTCTCAGCGGAGTCCTGCTGCAGTTGTCTGGTGAGACGGAGGTTGAGAGCAGTCATGGCCGTCAGGTGTTGGAGCTCGCTCTCTCTCATGTGTGTCGCCAGCTCCCTGCGAGGGACCACGACACTACACCCAAACTCCTTCATCTCGCAGGCCACGGGCTCCAGTGGACACACACTGCGATGTTGCTCCACCCCACACCTCTCCACCCTGCCCACCTCACAGCCATTTGGACAAGGCTCAGGGAACTTAGAGCACTCTGGGCCAGTGCTTTCCCTCTCCCTCATCATACGTACACTTGAGCCCGCAATACTCGCACTCCCACGGCCGCTTCTCGCACGAGAGCGTGTGACGTCCCAACCCGTTCACCTCCCCCACCCACCCACACCCACTGTCTTTGTTCCAGCAACGTACGCGAACCTCGCGAACTCTACGACCGTGATACTTGTCTAGCATGGCGCTCCATGATTCACTATTACACACGGGACACGGTTTACCTTCCTTCTGCAGCCTGTTAGCCACCTCTAGCGACAGGTGATGGCCACAACAGGAGGTGAGTTGAGGCTCGAGAAGCAGCTCTAACGAAACGGGACAGAAGAAATCCTGCGACGGTCGCTCCAGGAAATCAAATTCTTTATCTGGAAACAGAGGCTGATCCTTCTTAGCCGGCGTAACGGCGGGTGAAGGTGTACCGCCACTTGCTGCCTCGCCCTGTGCCCGCCCCCTGCACAAGACGTCGCCATTGTGTGGACTGTATCTATTATCTACACGCATGCGCAATATTTTTGGACTTCGAGCCTCGCGGAAGGCGTGGCTCCGCGAGGCATCATGGCCACTCCTGCTTCCGACAGTGAAATCCGGGTCTTCTGCTCGTGGTTCACGACACTAACTTCTGCCGAGAAGCACTGGTTCCTCGACAAACTCGTGCCGCTCGCCACTCCCCACAAATTGTTTGCGCAACTGGAGCGGAGCACTCTCGGTGCCCGCGTCCTCCCGACCACGTGGACTCACTGTCGCGACTTCGAGGAGCGAGCCCTGTTCTGCGTGGCTCGCGTACAGAGCTGGGAGGCCGCTCGCGCCAACTCGTTCGTAAACTTCCTCGAAGCCATCGACCAGGACGCCGTGTACGAGTTTTACGACAAAATAGCGCTCGCCTACGGCGAACCGTAGCTCAGCGAAGAAAAATGAGCACGCTAGAGTGTGTGGTAAGGACTAGAGGAGGAGAAAAGGAGGTCAAGAAGACGGCGGAGATTGTGGGGAAGGGGAAGGATTACCTCTCTTCTCTGTCGGCCAACCTATCTCGGATGCAGAGCGAGGTGAACGCCTATCTCACGCAGCTGGTGGAGAAGGAAAGGGCAGAGAAACTGGGAGGGAGCCAGGAACAACGTGGAACTACCAGTGGAAATGAAGGTTGTAGCTATATAAGGGTTTTAAAGAGTGTGTAATCTGCATATTATTTCCAGATATGGAGGAAGATGACGATTCTAACAAAGAGCCAGCCACAAAGAGATCTAAAACATGACCTTTCCGTCGTGCAATCTAATGCGCATGCGCTAACATCATCAGCTGGATGGCCAACGGCAAGTGCTGGATTCGACCGCCATATCACCATCTTCTCACCCGAAGGAAGGCTCTACCAAGTCGGTATGCAGTCGTACACACCTTTAGCCTAGCTAAGGAGCCTTTCTGACGATGTATGTGGTGCTCAAGCCAGTTCAATTGCCACAAATGGGGTCACGTGTGCTCCCCTCTCCACACAGAGTATGCATTCAAGGCGGTAAATCAGGGCGGCACTACCTCACTCGGTGTTCGTGGTGCCGACTCAGCAGTGGTCATCACTCAGAAGAAAGTACCGGTAAAAAAATTAAGAGTGTGAACCACATGCATATCACGTGTGTCATATCTACCCCTATATTTAGGACAAGCTGTTGGATCCCGAAAGTGTCAGTCACCTGTTCAAGATCACTGATCATGTTGGCTGTGTGGTGACTGGAATGATCGGTCAGTGAGAGCATACACACCATTACTGTGAATGTATGATGTGTATCAGCTGTCCCTGTGCTTGCACACTTACAATGCGATTTAGATATAAGCCATCTAAAAAACCTCCACCAATTAGTCGAATGTGAATGATGGTACCTAATGTCTTGCTTGTTGTATACTATTCCTCCAGCGGACAGTCGTGCTCAGGTCCAGCGAGCCAGAGCCGAGGCTGCAGAGTTCCAATACCGCTATGGCTACGAGATACCAGTCGACACTCTGTGCAAGAGGATGGCAGACATCTCCCAGGTCTACACCCAGAACGCCAACATGAGACCACTCGGTTGCTGTAAGTCTCACTCAAGAGTCTCAAAATCTAGCCATATTTCCATAAGGGTATTCATGGAAGAAAGTGAGAAGTGTGCTCTATATAGAAAGCATGGCAAAAGTATTACATAATGAGTGTATTACACACAACTATGGAAGATCTGTGTGTTTAGTAGGCAGGACTGCACACTTCTACAAAGACTTTTATCCCTAATCCCATACCACACATAATGTGGAAAATTTGCAGTCTGCATGTTTGCTAGTCAGAGCCACTGAACACTTCCCAAAAGAATTTCCCCCATAATCCCCCCTATCCCCTCTCGTTAGGCATGGTATTGATTGCCGTTGACGAGGAGCGAGGGCCTCAGGTGTACAAGACGGACCCGGCCGGCCATTACTGTGGCTACAGGGCAGTCGGTGTTGGTCCCAAACAGACCGAGGCCAATAACTACATGGAGAAGAAGATACGCAAGAAACCACAGTGGAGCTACGTGGAGACTGTCGAGGTGAGTCGAGATGACATCCGTACTGGTTATACCATTTCTTGAAAATGAAGGAGGGAACTTTCCAGTAGTAATCATCTGCAACTTTCCATATTCCCGAAACAAAATTTCGAAAGTTTTTCCCCACAGTTTTCAGCTGTAATGTATATATTATACATAGTACATTTTTGTGACAATAAGGGAATTTGCTGATGATAGATGTTTGTGGTTGTGTGCAGACGGCCATCATGTGTCTGTCCAGTGTCCTGTCTGCAGACTTCAAGTCCAGTGAGATTGAGATTGGTGTCGTCACTAAAGACAACACAAAGTTCAGGTCCGTCTGTCGCTTGTTGATTTTATTTGGTGTAAATGAAACAATTTTTCGTGCAGGATTCTCTCAGTGGAGGAAATTGATGAGAGATTGGCAGCTATTGCAGAAAGGGACTAGTGTTAGACTGCATTCTAGACTGACAGTTGTTCATTGTGTCGTGTATTATACCTGCTGTTACCCGATTGCACAATCATGTGATTGCACGTGCACACACACTGCACAAGCATAATTAACACTCGCCTGCGCGCATGCGCAGCGAGGGTTATTGCAGTCGGTCTGTCTGTGTGTGCGTGTGTGTGTGTGTGTGTGCGTGTGTCCGTCCGTCTGTCCTCCCTTTTTCTCGGTAACCCGCGCAACTCTGAGCGTGAAACGTGGACATATTTTCAACTAGGAGGAATGCATGGTAAAATAAGATTCTGGAGCGGAGAAGCCTGGGGGAAGCTGGTGAAACGGACGGCTGCCGAGGTGGGTGTGCGTCAAATAGAGATCGCGAACCATCGTTGTATAATGCTTAGATGCTAGATTCTTTGCGTGTGTGGAGAAGATTTGCTGGTCTGGCTGTATTGATGGTACAGTTGATTGCCGGTGAAGTTAGAGCAGCACACGCCCAGTGAATCCGTTCAGTGAAGGAGCCACTGAGGTAGCGTAGCTATGTAGCTGAATAGTGGTGAGGGTTGTCAAGACCAGTGCTTTTCACTTTGCTGTAGTAGTAACTACGCATGTGGCAAAAACTGAAGTAGTGTAGCTAGTAGCCATTGGCTGAATAAAGAATAAGTGGCGAGGGTTATGCACTTTCAAGTGCTTTTCATTTGTGGTGCAGCCAGATAATTTGCCCAAAACTCTGCTAAAACCATGTGA